GTGGGGCCGGGGAGCGGGAGAACCGAGGGCCGGGGGAGAACGAAAGCCGGGGGAAAAAAGGGCGAGACGTGGCGGAGAAACAAAATCAACATGGAAGTTGCCTTTTCTCCATTCAAGTTTCCTCCGCTGCCCTCCCAGCCCTCCACTTCTTACATAACTCACCTTCGGGCGGACCGGAGGAATTCTTATTTCATTGTTCCCAGCATCTTCTGGGACCGGGACGCGGCTCCTTGAGGTGCTCCAGCCTCCTGCAGTCCTCTATCCAAAAGGAGGCGAGAGTGGCATCTCTACCCAGCAAAGGGGGTACCAGCTCTGCTGCCAGTGCCATATGGTTGGCACGTCATGCGCGAGAGCTATCACATGAGAGCTAATGATTGACATGCGCTTGCATTCAGGGAGATTTGTCTCTCTGGGGAAGGAGGACTCGCCATCTGTCACTCTGTACTCAAAAAAAAAAAACAAAAAAAAAAAACCTCTTCCAAATCTACAGCTCTGCCTACACGCCGCAAAATGGGACCCGGGCGAGATGCAGGCGATGGCGGGGCCGGGCTGAACAATGGAGCCAGCGGCAGGGCGGCATGGGAGACCGGCCATCCCGGCCAGGCCGAGCGTGTCGGGGGCGGCCGGCGGGCACCAGGGCGAGGGGGAAGATGCCACGGGGACCCTCGGCGGGAGCTGGCATCTGAGGCTCGCCGCAAAATACCGCGGCGGGCGGTGGTGGTGCCCGGTTTGGCCGTGCTGGTGTGGGCAGGGGGCTGCAGGTGCGGGTGTGGGCAGGGCTGGTGGCTGCGGGGCTGTGCATCCCCATGTGGGTGGCACATGGCCCCTCTGGTCGCCCGCTCGCCACCCCATGACCCCCACCAGCACCCCCTCAGCTGCACAGCCACGCCAGCCTCTCCGCAGCCCCGCGGCACAGCCCGGCGTGCACAGATGCAGCCAGCCTTCGGCACACTCCTACATGCACACACACAGGCGTGCGCGCACACACGCATGCACGCTTGCACACGCATGCACACGCACGCCCTCCCCGATGCACGCGGGGCCCAAGCCCCCCACGGACGTGGGTCCCACGGTGTCAATGGCAGAGGCCCGGCCATGCCGTGGTGCAGCCGGCGAGACCTTTGTCTGCCAGGCGCCTCCTCACCTGCCGCGGCCCCACGCCCTGGCCCGGCAGCGCCCCGTCGCCCCCCGGCCTCCAAATTGGTCCCTGCCATGGTGCACATGCAGCCAGAAATTGCTGCTGCCATTTCCCTTGTGCCGGCAAACCGGCGGCGGGCAGCAGCAGGGCCGGGGAGCCCGTAACGGGTGCGTTGTGTCTGTGGGAGCCGGAACCCATCAGCTGGTGCCCCGCTCCTGGCTGCGACCGTCGGGGCCGAGCTGTGGGACCTCCCTGTGTCCTGGATCCCTTCCGTCCCCGCAGCCTGGGGGGGCCGGGACCTGCCCGGCTCGAGGGGTGCGGGCAGGGGAAGGGGCAGCAGGTGCCGGGTGCCACACACCGGCACGTGCCGGCCGTGCACCGCAGGCAAGGGCGGCACGAACATGGCGTGGGAACGGCAGGGCCACAGTGGCAGTGGTGGCCGGGGCTGTGCCCACACGCAGACAAAGGGCTGGCCGTGCCCGGCCGCCGGGTCTGTGCCAGCGTCGTCGGCGTCGTCCACTCCCCCGGTGCAGGTGCCGGGGCTGGCACGTGACAGAGGGGCCTTCACCGGCGGCGAGCGTCCCCCCCGCACGCTCCCGCTGCCGAACCCTCTGACTGTCACTCACGGCTGCGGCCGAGCAGATGGCACCTGGGCTGGAGCCGGCCCGCGGGGAGGCAGGGCCCACCCCAGCCGTGCCGGTGCTGGTGCCGGGGCACTGATTCCCAGGCAGCCTCCCGGCACATCGCAGCCCTTCCCCGCAGCACCGTTCAGCTCCCTCTGTTGTTGCCATCTTCATTTTGCAAGCGGGTGCTGGGTGGGCATCACCGTGCCCTGGGAGCCCACCCTCGCCCGGTGCCTGCGGCACGCCGGTGCTGCCCGTTCCTGCCAGCTCTGGGTAAGTCCCCACTCCCCTGCCCTCGGTTCCCAGGCCAGGGGACCCCCAGCCCTCGGCGGGCGGCACGGCCCCACTCCAGCCCTGCTGCACCCCCGGCGTCGGGGCAGCGAAGCCGGCGGTGCCCCAGCTCCTGGCACTGGGCTCGCAGCCCATGGGGACCCACGGGGGCACCGGGGCTGTCCGAGGCTGAGGAGATGCCATGGCGTGAGCGGGTGGGCTGGCCCGTGGGGGGACAGGGATGGGGAGAGAGGGAAGCCACGAGCCCCTGGCCCGGTGCATCCGTTACAGCCTAATTAGCAGCCGGCGAGCGGCAAGGGTGGGCGCCGGCGTGAGCCTCATCAGCATGCACAGCGCTTGGAGGGAGAAGAAAGTGGAGACATGAAACGGGGAGAGGAGATGAAAGGGGAGTGTGGAGATGAAAACCCAAACCACTGCATTGTGCCGGGGCCGGGGCGGTGCCGCGGGCCCTCAGTCGGCCTGTGCCGGGACACGGCCCACGGTGCGGGCAGCAGGGGGGATCCCGGTGCCGTCCCCTCCGCCCTGGCTGGTGATGGCACAGGGCAGAGCGGCGCAGGGGCAGCCCCGTCCCGGTCCCGGGGTGCCTTTTGGGGTGGGGAGGGGTCCATCCAGGGTGGTGAGTGGGGCTCCCAGCATCACAGCACAGGGGCTGCATGAGCAGGATCCGGCCCCTGGGGAAACGGGGCTGCCCTGGGCAGCAGGAGGAGGCAAGGTCGGTCAGGGTGAACGCAGGACCGGGCACAGGCGGGGGGAGCAGCAGGGGAGCAGGGGCAGGGCTGGGTGCTGGTGCTTTGGGTGCAGGGCCTGGGTGGGCAGCTTCTCCTGCCCCAGGAGGTCGGGGCTGGGGGAGCTGGGCCCGGCGACCCTGGGGCTCTGGTCCCCATCCTGCTGCTGGTTCTCCTGTGCAAGGACCGGCTTTCCCGACACTGCCGCCTTCGTCACCAGCCAGGTCCCCTGGGCTCTCGCTGCCCAGCGGGCACAGCTGGGCGTTTGGCTGGTTCATGAAGCTCTTTCCTCCTCCAAAATTCATCCTCCGTGTCCCTTCCCCTCCCTCCGGCAGGAAAGCGATGGATGGGGATGGGGACTCTGCCTGGAGCAGTGGTGGCTCCGTCCCTGAGGTGGGTGCTGGGGGATACGTGGCATCTGGAGGGACATGGTGGGGGCACGGCAGTGGGTCGGCACCGGCAGAGCCAGGGGTGGGACCGCCATGCCATCCCTCCCCAGCGTGGGCCAGGGGGTACCCAACCTGCCCCCCCTCACCAGCGGGGTCCCCGTCCCCCCTTGGCGAGGCCGAGCCGGCTGGGGCCCGAGCGGAGGAGCCGGCTTCGGCATCTCCCTGTGTGCGGCAGCGGGGGGAGGCGGGGGCCACGCTGCCAGATGGAGCCGGCTCCGTGCTGCAATATTTCTGGGAGGTGAAGGCTGGGGAGAGATGGATGCGCTAACGCGCGGCGGAGCCACCGCCGGGGAATGTCAGCCGAGGGGAGGAGAGCGACGGGAGCGGGAGCCCAGCCTGTCCCCATCCCCATCCCCACTGCCTTTGGGGATGAAGTGGCCCTGGGCCGGGTCCCCGGAGCAGCTCTCCCTCGTGGGACCCGTCCCTGGGCATCTTCCCGTCACTGGGTGAGCAGGGCCCTGTCTGTGGGTGGGGGTCTCTGGGGGACAGGGACGGGGGTGTGGAAGCCCTGCCCGTCCCCATGTCCCTAAAGGTCCCTGCAATGGGGACCGTGGGGTCATGGGTGGGTTGGGGAGCCTGGGAGGAGGAAGCTGGTGATGGAGGGAAGCTGAGGCACGGAGGGAGGAACAGGGCGGCATCGGGGGGCTTTTAGCGAACCCTCTTTCTTTTGCTAGAGGAGGACGGGGAGATGCTATGCCGGCCCCGGGGCCGTGGTGCCGGTGCCAAGCGAAGCCCCCGTCGCCGTGGGGTGGCTGCTTCATCCCCCCGGCAGGATCCTGTCCCTGGGGCAGCCGGACCCCCGCATGTCCCCCCCGCCCACTGCCGCTCGCGGGCCGGGGACTTGTCAAGCGGTTTTTAAGGCACACGCTGTTAATTAGGCAAACGACGCCCTGGGAATTGTCCAGTGGGAAACTGCCGGCGCCGCAGCTGCGTGTGGGGCTGGGATAGAGGGTCCTGGGGCGGGAGGAAGGGTGGCCCCAGGGGCCTTGTCCGCTCTCCATGCTCCTTCGTCACCCAGCAGCCGCTGGGT